CCCTCCCCCATCCCCCTTCCCTCCCTCCTCCTCTCCCTCCCTCCCTCTCTCTACACAGGGTCTCATTGTGCAGCATCCGCAGGCCTTGAGCTCACTCTGTAGCCCAGCCTGACCTCCAGCTCAGGGCGGTCCTCCTACCTCAGCCTCCCACTTGCTGGTACTGGGTGTCACCACACGGTCTGGCTTCTGTGGCCTTTTCCAAGTCTGCAGCTAGAATCTTCATTGATCATGGGATATCTCAACTCAGAGACATTCTTAAATTGCTACATAATTATGACCATTAATATAGAAAAGTGAGTACTCAAATCTTTTTAAACCTAAAAGCATTTTACTCTGAGTTCTAGGACACATGTCAGAAGAAATCAGGCAAAATGACAATCTTTAACTGGAAGGTGAACAAATTTCTATATGAGAGGGCTTATAAGCAACTCTGTCTAAAAAAAAAAAAAAAAAAAAAAAAAAAAACTAGAACAAAAAATTCCCTTTATCCTGCTACCTCAGCAGCTAGCTGGTTCCCCAGACACGCACCCAGGTAGCACTGTGTCCCTAAGCTCAAGCCTGTCCACCTCACCCCTGGGCCAGCAGGCGAGGACACAGGAAGCGAGCATGTGGGCCAGAGGCTGTCGTGCTGCAGGCACCCCCAGGTCTCTCTCCCGTCGCCGCTCCTGTCTAGAGCACCTGACACCCAGGAAGATCTCTGTGACTGTGTTTTGAATGAAGAGCCAGAAAAATGACTGACAGTGGGATTCCCCTGTGGATAGACAAAGCCTGAGAACTTGCCAGTTAGTAAGCCCCAAGGCAAATAAAAACAGGCTCAACACCTATAAAATAATGAATTTATTATAGGTGATTAAGTGGATGCAAATTGACAAGGTGGATTAGGAAAAGCTCCCAGGGCTGAGGATCAAAATCTACGGGTTTTGCTCCAAGTTCTGCCACTAAATAGCTCTGTGGCCTTAATCGCTTTAGCTCTTCATGCCTCGTGGAAAACTTAAAGTTTCCATGAAAAAGTCATTTGGCATAATTCAAGGTATAAATGCAAGAAACCCAAAGATCAAAGATCTTTCTCGTTTTAAACAAATGCAAAGTATTAGTTTCGTCTAACAGGATGTTGAAGCAACTCATCCTGTGAAAAAGTAAGATTCCTCCTTGGTTAGCAGGGCAATGGGGGGCACAGGGGGAGGCAAGGGCCGTGGAAAGCAGGAAAAGAACCTTGAGCGCTCCCTCTGGCTGACTCCTCCTGCCCGGTTCATGAAAAGGAAGCCCATCCGAGCTGAACGGGGCAGGCTTGGGCTCAGGGACACCCTCCAACCCTGCGACGGGAAACGTCACTCCCTCACGCAAAGTCAAACTAAGGAATAAAATTCAAAGCAAGGGTCGGAATTCAAAGTGACCTTGGTAAATTAAAGAAGTTAACAGAAATAAACAAAAGACCAGACGAAAACAGCAAGGCAGTAAACCACAGAAGAAAAACAAATAGATCCTGTCAGTACGAGAACAGCCCCGCTGTGCACGGCCATGTTAGAAATACGCACAGAGATTGGAACTAGAGTGGCTAGAAGAGAGATTATAGGACAGCCAGACAACAGTGTAATTTCTGAGACACATCGGGGACCAGATTACGCACTCACACACACCAGGACACTATCCTCTAGGGAAACCCTTCCTCCTCTGGGGCTTCAAACTAGGCGCAAAGGGAGGACTTGGAGGAGAGAGTAGAAAAGAGATGCAAAAAGTTTATCTGGACAGTTTCTGACTCGTGAGTACCGAGGACAGCGCTGCAGGGGCCGCTGGAGCATACGGTCCCTCCTCAGGGACCAGGACGTCTCCCTAGCAGATGTCACCAGCTTCCGACCCAATCTCTTTTTTTGCAGAACCCGGGATTGAACTCAGGCGCTTGCCAGGGAAGCGCTTATTCCACCGAGCCAACGCCCCGCCCGCCAATATTTTTTGAAGTCAGTCATGTGCAAGCCTATCTGAAAAAGTGAATCATTAGTCCTTTTCAGTGATTTACGAAACAAAGTCTCCTTGATCATTTGATGTCCATAAAATTACAGACCTAATTCAAAGGAGCTGCAGGAGGAGGAAAAAGAACAGGGAAACAATCATACACTCAAGTACTTTATCATTTCAGGGACGGGACAGAATCTCCCAGTCGCACCCCAATCTGCGGCAAGGGCCGCTGGCTCTCACAGCGCCTCTCTGGCTTTACACAAGGCAGTCAAAAGTCTTCTGAAGGCTTTATGATAAAGGAGAATAAATAGAGAGGTGGAATGACCCGGTTCTCCAAAGGTGGTTTTTCACAACTGATGGGTGTTTAGTGCCACCTGGTGGTCCTCCTAAGAGTTACACTTCCAACTGAAAATCAAGAGATGGTGAGGTCGTTTTTCTAGAATTCAAAGCTTTTTTTTTTTCTATTCAAGAGAATTAAATTGATTATGATTTGATGCCATGATAGTGGATGATACACAGCTTCAATCCCATCTATCATTGTATCTGGTACCACTATTCAATTTAGATATAAAACATGTATCAACAATCATTTTTATAACCAAGTAGCTGACTGTTTGCTTGGGTGACCTTTTCGATGGTCACATTCAGAGGTCACAACAGTAACTGTCAGGTCAGTTACACCAGGGTTTCTGAAGACAAAGACTTCTTTAGCCAAGCAATTGTAAAGAAATTTTAAATGGAACCTGGCATCACCCGGAAGGAATTCTAACTTCACACTGTTGGGGATGTTAACCAACATGGCTTCAGAGTAGACTAACTTTACATAGCACCTTTTTTTAAAAAAAAAAAAGACATATTTATTCAGCGTCATGATCAGACTATTACATTAGCAATCAACAGCATGGGTGCAAATAAAGGTCTACATTAAAACCCTTTGTTGGAATGCTTTACACTTTCCACAGAACAGTAACTAAACTTGTTATACAATTAGTCACAAATACAGTCCTCAAGTTTTTTGCCCATACACATGAGTATTGTCTGAAACATGCCTTCTTTGTAGCAGCTGGGCCCTGCCACCACTGTGCTTGGCTGAGTTCACAAATCTGTTGTCACCTGTAGATTCCCTGTCACTTCTCTGGCTCTCCTCTCCTGCTGAGCTTTCTTTCCTGGAAGGGTTTAAAACCTTCCGTCACTGCCATGGCTACTGCTGCTGCTGGAGCCACCATAGCCATCTTGATTTTGTGGTTCGGTAAAATATTGGCCTCCAGCACAACAGGGCCCAGAGCTTCTGCCCCCAAAGTTTCCTCCCTTCATGGGTCCAGAATTTGAAGACTGACTGTTGTAATTGCCACATTCATTATAGCTTCTACCACCTCCAGAATTGCTTCCACTACCACCACCAAAGCCACCTCTGTCTCCTCCGTTGTCATAGCTGTCATAGCTGTCACTCCCGCCAGAGCCACTGCCCTGTGCCCTGTTCCCACAACCCTGTCCACCACTTCTATAGCCTCTGCTTCCTCCAGAGTAACCAGGGCCGCCTCCTCCATAACCACCATCATTACCAAATCCTTTGTAGCCATCTCCACTGCCACCATATCCACCGCCACCACGGCTGCCACCAAAGTCACCTTGACCACTGAAGTTTCCTCTGCAACTGAACAGTCATTGTCACCAACACCACCTCCATGAATACCACCAAAGTTTCCAGAACCACTTCGACCTCTTTGGCTAGATGAAGCACTAGCCATCTCCCGCTTGGACAGGGCTTTCCTCACTTCACAGTTGTGGCCCTTCACAATGTGGTATTTTTGAATGACAATCTTATCCACAGAATCCTGGTCATCAAAGGTCACAAAAGCAAAGCCCCTCTTCTTTCCACTGCCTCAATCAGTCATAATTTCAATCACTTCAATTTTTCCATGTTGTTCAAAATAATCTCAGGTGATGTTCTTCAGTATCTTCTTTAGTGCCACCAACAAAAATCTTCTTCACCATTAAGTGGGCACCTGGTCTTTGAGACAGCTCTCTCTCCAGTTCCACAACTCTTCTATCCACTTTGTGTGGCCTTGCATTCCTGGCTGCATCCACCTCCTCCACAGTGGCATAAGTGACAACTCAAAGCCCCTGGAACATGTGGCATTTGGGTCTCTCATTACCACGCAGTCTGTGAGTGTTCCCTGTTGCTCAGAATGGCTCCTCAGACTCTTTAGTTGTTCCAAAGCTCAGCCCTCCGATGAAGAGCTTCCGCAGCTGTTCGGGCTCCTTGGGAGACTCTGACTTAGACATGACGGCAGTCGGGAGAGAGCCTGACAATGCTTCCTCCGTGGTGTCCACCAGCAGAAAGTTCAAATCTTTCTAAATAAGACAATATAATTCCTTTTCCCGAGAGTTAAATACTCCAGTGTACCACAATGGCCTGGCCTTGCACATCATTGAATTCCGAGCGGCGCCTCTAGGACCGCCGCTTCTCTGCCCACCTTCCTCCCCCTCGGCTAAGATGGTGCAGTGCAGGTTGCCATCAACACATATTAAATATTGCAGAATTTCTCCGTGCTCACATGAAAGGCTTGTTGCGTCAGTTTGCGAATACCTACCGTAAACTCAGTTCCAGGCCACCAGTCAGGAAGCTGGTGCACACATATGACTGAGCAGCTTCCCTGAGCAAAGGGTATGAGACCCCGGACTGGCTGGCAAGATAATAGCCAGGATGGGAGTGGCGTCTCTCAGGTGCAGCGGGACCCTGTAGCGACAACGGCCGTGTCTTTGGTTTTCCCCGAAAGCTCCGGTGAATGATTACCCTGGGCCATGAACCCCAGAGCTGGGAGCCTGGCACTACCATCTAGGCACGCAGGACGTCCCGGGCCACAGCTTGCACGATGGCTGTGCGTGTCACAGGAGTGAGCAGCGGGCATGGCGTTTTTATGTGAAGACTTTGTCTTAATTAATTGCATTAGTGCACTTTTGGTGTGTGTCGCATCACATGCACTGCAGGGAATGGCGCCCGTACGTGAGGTGCCTTCCCTGCTTCGCCCACCCTTCTCCCCTCTCCAGCCTTTCCTTATTTGTAAACCTGCTGTTGCCACCTCCCCCCTACTCACTTTCTTCCTCTTCCCTTCCCCCTCCTCCCCTCCCCTTCCCATTGAGCACTTTCTTCCCACTTCCGGGTGTCTGCCATCCATTTGGGTCCCTATTCGTGCTTTCATTTACTCAGACAAGAGACACGGTGTGACGTGTACACGCGGGGTCCGCTTCACTTCACTGGGGAGTGCGACCTCAAGGTGCATCCACTTCCCGAAAGGCATCTCCAGTTTATCCTTCCCTATGCACAGCAGTACCAGGTGGGTATAAAGAGGCGCCTTCTAGAGCCACACAGCTGTTGATGTGCATCCAGGGTGTTTCCAAGGTTTAGCTTTTATGAATTTTGCCGCTGCCAACGTGGGTGTGCACAGTCCACTGTAGTTTCACGCTTTCGCCTCTTTGGGGAAGATGCCGAGAAGGGGACTCCCCGGGTCAGTGGAACCTCTAGCTGCAGTTTTGTGAGGAGCAAATGCTGATTTCCACGTGGACAGCGCCCCCACAGTTTCGCCGACAGCACCGCGGGCTGCTTCCCCCACAGCCTGCGCAGCATTTCGTATTGGCTGATTCCTTGATAATAGCCGGTTCTTTCTGGAGTGAACTGGAATCTCAGTGGTGTTTTAATTTGCATGTTACGCATGAGCAGTAACGCTGAACACTTTTTCATAAATCTATTGTCTGTATTTTTTTTTCATCTGCATAGTGTCTGTTCATTTTACACATCCATTTTTGAATTGGGTCTTTAAATTTGGGAAGTCTGATCTTTTTGAGTTCTTTATATATGCTAGACATTAGTCTTCTGAGGAATGGCTAGTAAAAGTTTTTCCTTTTCTAATCATTTATTTATTTAGTACAAGGTCTTGCTACGCAGCTCAGACTCATAGTGATCCTCCTGCCTCAGCCTCCTCAACACTGGGATTACAGGTGTGCGCTACCACACCCAGTATGAGGGCCGACATGCCTGGGGCCAGCTGACGTGCAGGACTGGGGATGGAAGCCGGGTCCTTGTGCTTGCCAGGCAGGCACTTAGACTGCAGAGCTATCTTCCCAGCCCTAGGAAAACTTGTTCCCATTTTGCACCATTATTTTGTTGCACAAAATCTTTTTAATATGATGAGATCCCAATTATTGATTCTTTGGAATATGTGCTGTGTGGTAAAGCTATTGTTCATAAAGTCTTTGCCTACATCTGTGGCTTCAAGGCTATCACCTGTTTTATATTCCAGCAGACTAATATTTAGATCTCTGAGCCATTTCAATTTTAGTTTAGCGCATGGTGAGAGATATGGTTCTAGGCTTAATCCTCGGCACGTAGCAAGCCACTTTCCCCAGCACCATTTATTAAAGAAAGTAGAGTGTCTTGCCTGCAGTGAAGGTGCGTGGGCCCTGTGTCGGGCCCTCTGGCAAGCTAAGGCGGCTGAGTGCTTTGCGGCTGCTTCTGGATCTTCTATTCTGGGCCGCTGATCCTTAGGCCTGGGGTTTTTGGTGTTAGTTTTATTTTGTTGGCATTATTGGTTGTTTCTGTTTTGCCAGTACCATGTGTTTTTATCATGATAGCTTTCGTGATTTTTTTTTATTGAGTAAAGAATCAGGTAATTACCTGGACACTGAAGAACAAGAAAATAGCGCATCTTGGCTCTCTTGCCTATGAAACTTCAAGATGCCCAGAGCGGTAAGTCTCCACCTCTCAACGGGTATCTCCAGAAGAGCGATGCCGTCAGCATCTCGCCTCAGAACCAGGCTAAGAGCTCATTTCCTCCCTGCTGCTTGTGCTTGTCACTGAAGCTAACACTGCAAAACCAGAATTACTTTTTCCATAAGCACATGATACCAGGCAAGAACATGAGTAATACATTTTCCAGTGTTCATGTACCCCTGACCTACAACTGTAACAAAAGGCGTTAGGAACCATTCTAGCAGATAGTTCAGAGTCCACCATTTTTTATGAAGAATGGAGAAATCCTACTCCAAGGAACACTTTGAAAAGTTCATGGTCAGCATAGCAGTAAGGGCAAAACAAGAACAATCCAAATGCATGTCTATATGCTTTAAAAATATACAGGAGGTCGGTTCACTCACCGTCCAGGGGCAGAACCAAGCAGCTGAAAGCAGACACTGTAGCATTTGCCAACACTCGGCAAGGAGTTCCACACACGGCTGCTGAGATGGCCCCCAGGGAAAAGCCAGCTCCAAACACTTGTACCAGCCCTCCGTCCACGTAGCCTTAGGAGACCAAACAGCAAGTTAGGACCGTGGTGGCAAACCCCTCTGAAGGCAAAAAATCCAAATCTGCACATCCTCCTGATGCCCTGCAGGATCCACAACCCGGGTGATGCGGGTCCCTGAAACCCTCGGTTTCCTCCCCACATAGAGACTGGCCTCCAGGGTGCAGACAGACCCAACTGTATTCAACAGCCTCCTATGTCAAAGGTTCAACTTCTAATTAGTGATTATTGATAAATTTTCCACTCTTTCTACAAAAGAGTATAAAATGAGAGTGAAAATCAAGTTCACCCAAATCTGGAATCCCTCTCCAAATGCACCAGTCTCTTGGGACTCCTTCCAGAATATTTAAAGAATATATTTGTCTATCTATATCTATAGATAGGAGTATGTTTAGCAGCTTATTCCTTTCTGCGGGTGGACATCTCAGAGGAAGCATCATCAGGCTCTCCTCCAACTGTGGTCATGTCTAAGTCAGTCTCTCCAGGAACCTAAACAGCTGCGGAAGCTCTTCATTGGAGGGCTGAGCTTTGGAACAACTGAAGAGAGTCCGAGGAGCCATTGTGAACAATGGGGGACACTCAGACTGCGTGGTAATGAGAGACCCAAACACCAAGCATTCCAGGGGCTTTGGGGTTGTCACTTATGCCACTGTGGAGGAGGCGGATGCATCCAGGAATGCAAGGCCACACAAAGTGGACGGAAGAGTTATAGAACTGGAGAGAGAGCTGTTTCAGGGAAGATTCTCAATGACCAGGTGCCAACTTAACAGTGAAGAAGATTTTTGTTGGTGGCACTAAAGAAGATCCTAAAGAGCATCACCTAAGATTATTTTGAACAACATGGAAAAATCAAAGTGATTGAAATTATGACTGATTGAGGCAGTGGAAAGAAGAGGGACTTTGCTTTTGTGACCTTTGATGACCAGGATTCTGTGGATAAGATTGTCATTCAAAAATACCACACTGTGAAGGGCCACAACTGTGAAGCGAGGAAAGCCCTGTCCAAGCAGGAGATGGCTAGTGCTTCATCTAGCCAAAGAGGTTGAAGTGGTTCTGGAAACTTTGGTGGTGGTCATGGAGGAGGTTTTGGTGGCAATGACAGTTTTGGTCGTGGAAGAAACTTCAGTAGTCAAGGTAGCTTTAGTGGCAGCCATGGTGGGGGTGGATATGGTGGCAGTGGAGATGGCTACAATGGATTTGGTAATGATGGAAGCAATTATGGAGGTGGTGGGAGCGATAATGGATTTGGCAATTACAACAGTCAGTCTTCAAATTCTGGACCCATGAAGGGAGGAAACTGTGGAGGTAGAGGCTCTGGGCCCTATGGAGGTGGAGGCCAATATTTTACCAAACCACAAAATCAAGGTGGCTGTGGTGACTCCAGCAGCAGCAGTAGCTATGGCAGTGGCAGAAGGTTTTAAACACTTCCAGGAAACAAAGCTTAGCAGGAGAGGAGAGCCAGAGAAGTGACAGGGAAGCTACAGGTTACAACATATTTGTGAACTCAGCCAAGCACCGTGGTGGCAGGGCCTAGCTGCTACAAAGAAGACATGTTGTAGACAATACTCATGCGTATGGGCAGAAAACTTGAGGACTGTATTTGTGACTAATTGTATAACAGGTTATTTTAGTTTCTGTTCTGTGGAAAGTGTAAAGCATTCCAACAAAGGGTTTTAATGTAGACCTTTTTTGTACCCATGCTGTTGATTGCTAAATGTAATAGTCTGATCATGACACTGATTAACTGTGTCTTTTGAAAACATATATATAGAGAGATATAGAGATATATCTATATCTATATCCATATCTATATCTATATCCATATCTATATAAATGTATTTCAGTACAGAGTCTACCTGCAAAGGTTGGACTCATGGGGATCCTCCTATTTTCAGCCTCCCACATGCTACATGCTGGGTTTACAGATGCATGTCACCACGCCCAGTCTCAGTTGCCATCTCAGCGCGCCCCAGGGACAGGGCCAGCACCACACACTGGGGATCAAACCCCGGTCCCTGCATCTGCCTAAGCAGGTGCTTTCGTCCACTGAGCTATCTGGCCAGCCCAGCCCATGTATCCTGATTCAAAGGCTTCGTCCCCTCCGCGTCATTCTGCAGCATGACTCTTTACTTCAAAGAACAGCACAGCTATCCTGACAATCCCTCACAGATCCAGCCTGCTTTGATGACTACTTAGAACCTTATGAGAGGATTATATCGCAATCTGTTTTTAATAACTTTTCTACTGATTAGGATTTCCCTTATGCTATTTTGCTGTTATTAATAGTGTTCTAATGACATCCTTTAGGTGTACTTTTATAAAGCTAAGCCATACCTCGAGTTCACCCTGAGATGCAGTTCCATTCTCCACTGTTGTCACCCCATGGAGGGGCGGAGATACCTATGGAGCTGTCCGACAGACTCCAGAATAATGTTTTCTGGACAGAGTGCAGCTCATGGCGATGTTCCATCCTAAAGGTCATAGAATCCTAGGGAATTTCCTTAGCTTCCAGCCCAAACTCCTTTATCAAGTAAGGAAGCTGAGGATTCACCAATTCCAATCCCCACTGCAGTCCACCCAGCGGAGGCTAATATGTTTTAGGAAATGGCTTGGTAAGTACCTCACCAGTACAAAGGCCAGCTTCCATAATTCCCCGTATACTCTCTGATTACAATCAGATCTGAGCTACCTGAAGTGGAGCAAGGCTCTATGTGAACAGAAATCTAAACCATCTTTGGAAGAAAGTGCCAGGCAAATTTCTGTGTATCTAAAAGTTGAAAAAAGTTCAATCAGCACAACCATATTATACCACTTGCTCACTATTGGAGGAATATGAAATCATCTGATAAATATTACCAAAAAATCATAGCAAGTTTTAAGTCATGCAAATTAGTATATAAATCTAAAAACAGGTGAAGTATTTATGTACTTAAGTGATCACATTATGAACTCTAATAAAAATAATACAAATTAAAGATGAAAGTGCATCAAATTAAAATTCAATCAAATTCTTAGAGAACATGCTCAATTTTCTTGATGACAAAGAAAGCTGATGACCAAAGTGTCCTAAAGACACACCTCAGGAAGAATCTGGGGTAAGAGCCCAGCTGAGCTCCTCTTTCCTCTCGTCTGGTGGAATGATGTTGGGCTTTCTACCTCCTACAAGTGACAGCAGCTAGTAGTCCGTTTACATAAAGTGCCCTGTTTTGTCGTCTGCCTTACCGAAATTCTCCGTCACTGCTGTCACTGTAGCTCTCACTGTGAGCACAAGAGCCGACGAGGCCCAGCCCCGGGAGTGGTCGTAACCTCGGACATGGTGCTCCCCAGCCGGAAGGGGAGGGACCGTGCACTGGACGACCGTGCTGTTGCCAGCGACACCTGCACAGGGCACCATCCCAATAAAAATGTCCATGTTGGCAGCTCCTGAGATCCGGGCCACTGCAAAGGTCAAGATGCCACCACTCTGAGAGACAGAGATCAATTCTGGGGTGAAGGCCTCACTATAATCAATGACCCCCACATGGTACAAAATTCCATCCACCTCAATTTCCAGAGCAACCGAGCCATTTCCTGCAGGAACAACACACTGAATGAGCTCCAAGCTGACGTTCACGGTCAGACAGGCCTGCCGGCCCACATGGACCGAAGTGGTGTTCTGCCCTCTCAGGGCTGCACCCTCGACAGCCAGGAGGCCCCCACCATGCATGCTGAAGCTCCTCGGGGAGTAGCGGAACACTCGAGGCCTGGTGGGCAAGCGCTTGGAGACGTCTCCCCGACAAACACACCCATCACTTGTGTGAACGACTAACAGGTAGAGGAGTCCCGGAGTCAGGGCGCTAAGCTGGCATGCCACGTGGCTTGCATTGAAGGGAGTCAGGTCACAGAGAAGATGTACCTCCACAGACCCTAGCGGCCCACCAGCAGCACTTCCCAGCCTCCGCACCACCATCAGAATGGCAACCAGGGACCCGTTAATCTCTGCAGTCACATTGTCCATGACAGGAGACGTCCTCCCCTGCATGAAGACAGTGCAGTTCCCCTGGCAGCTGCTGGCCAGTCCACTGACTAGGACTGTGATGTTGACAGTGAAGGAAGCTCCAGCCAAGTGGTCACCCACCAGATTGGCCTGGCAGACAACCGTGTCACCTCTCAAACTCAATAGCACACGAGTGAAAGGAGCTGAAAGGTCCGCCTGAACAGGCTTCCTTCTAGGCTGGAGGCGCGTCCCCAGCACGGTGAGTGCTGTCCCACCACATGCCGGACTGTGCTTTGGGGAGCTGGTGGCCACCTGCAGCATCATTGCCCAGTGCTGGGGCACTGCAGACAGGTCAGCGAGCCCCATGTGCTTGTGACGTACTTGGACAGGATAGACGCCTGCCTCCAGACTGTGCAGAGGAAAGGCACAGCCAGACAGGCTCATGTTGTCCCCAAAAGACAGCATCTCAAGGTCACATTTCAAGCCCCCCAGAAGAATGACTGAGCCAGACAGGTGCTTCCCCTCCAGATAGAACTTCAGGCTGCTATTGGTGACTTCTTCCCACAGGGCAGCGACCACCGGGGTTGCTGCTGATGCATACGTGAAAGTGAAGCCCTTCCCCACCAAGCCCGGTACAAGCCCGTGGACGAAAGATGCGTTGCCCACCCAGACCTCCACGGGGACAGGAAGGGAATCTGCAGCAGACGACAGGAGGGCTGGCGGGGTCTCGCAGCTGATGCTTACATCCGTCAAGTCCACAATGTCACAGGACTGATTGCCCACCAGTACCCAAACCAAAGTGGGGTCTCTGCTGAACCCTTCTCCAGAGATATTGAGGATGGTCCCACCTAGAACACAAACATGGGAAGCAAAAGTTAAAAGCTGTTGTTAGGAACTCACAGCACCTGTGAAGCAGTGATGCGAGGAGCAGAAAATGAGATCCAGGTCCAGGGATATAGTTCAGCGGCAAGCACAAGGTCGTGAGTTCAATTCCCAGTAGCACAGAAAGAAAGAAAGAAAGAAAGAAAGAAAGAAAGAAAGAAAGAAAGAAAGAAAGAAAGAAAGAAAGAAAGAGGAAAATGAAGCCCCTGAAATCTTGGTGCCTTTATCCCACCCCCACTAATCTTGTGATCATGCAGACAGATGACTGATGCGCCAAAATTCACAGAAAAGGGCAAATAAAACAGTGTAATGCAGGGAAGATATCTAAGACAAACTTCAAAGTCTCTATGTGTCCTAGAAGCTAGCACTTCAATCAGCATATATACTAGTGAAAAATCAAATGCTTTAGCCTTCCTGTAATCTAGTCTATAGGTCATTAAGAAGAGTATACATATGCAATTTTATATTCATTCAACTGACATGCTAAAGTAATGAAACTCACTGAGGTCTCCTATTTGCCTTCTCTAGTATTCTGAATAATGTCTCAGCATTCTACATGCAGTATTATATATGCTGATATTTTCAGTACTCTTTACGTAAGGCATCACAAGTCACCAACCCATGCTCATGAAGTTGCTGTTGCATTCACAGACATTGTCTTATTCTCTAGTACAGAGGTGATCGGAGCTCAAACCCCATCCTCAGGTAGAGCTTGGAGCAGCATAAGTAACACAACAAACAAGTCGATGGTGTAGTCAACAAGTCTTAATAAGGATTTTCCTGCACTCAAAAGGCTAAGGTGCTGCTTCATGCATTCACAGACATTATTCATATGCCAATACATAGCTTTTTTGCTTTCCTTTTTTTTTTTTTTTTTT